GGAGACTCGCCCCAGAGAGTTCTCCACTTCAGACACAAGTTTTGATCGTCTCTCTTGCACCACGCTCCGAGAGAGACTCTGATGGCCGATATATCGCGCATCCCCCGTGCTATCATCTGCATAGCAATGCATGCCATCAATAGACAGCATGTCATTGATATACAGGATGAAAAGCGTGGGGGAGAGCACCGAACCTTGTGGAACGCCAGCGTTAATGGTCATGGTATCAGAACAGTCACCGTCTACAACGACCGTGATGCTCCGCCCATCCAAAAGTCTGGGCGGCCCGACGGGCTGCCGTACCGAGACGGCCGACGTTTCAGAGCCTTCGATTTGCCTCGAAGGCTCCGTCGGCTGGGCGTCCTTGGGATGAGCCGCGCCGTCTGGTTGTAGTGTTGACCGCGGTAGCCCCCCTACCTTATCCGGGTTCTGACCTCTGAGGGGATCGGACGTTGGGTGTAAGAGTGCAGGGGAGTCATTTAGTGGGTGGGCCCTAAAATCCTTGGGCCCGCGGTCTGCTCACAACACCATGCAGATCGTAGAGTCTCACATACCCCGCGCGCCCCTTTTGCGCGGGGACATCGTAGGAGGTTCGGCCCTCTAGCCGAAAAAAAAAATAAAGGTGATGGTTTGCTTATTAGATATAAAATAATTAATAATTGGGAATTTAATTGTTTTTATGATCGAACAATCACGAATAGTCGTCGAACAAACGATAATTGATCAAAGTGAATTAATCTGAGCGATAAAAATAAAGATGTCTAGTAAGGAGGGCCACTTAACGGTGATCTTTTTTTTAATTAATTATAAATAAATAAAAGACGAACAAACAATTTTTACATTCGAACATTAACGAACAAACAACGAACAAATAATTAAAAATAAAAAAATCCGAAAATAAAAAAGGGGGCCAAATTTACAGAGTCGAAAATAAAAGGTTACTAATAAGTTACACAGAAACTCTTTCGACGCATTTGAATTTTTCACACTCTCGAGTTCTGCTGATTGTGTTTGAATTTTCGTTTTTGGTACACCCCACCATTGTTTACTTGTTAGCGCAATTTTTATTAAAAAAAATTTTCTTGTCTTACATAAATTTTCTCTCAGTGTCAGCAGATGGCGCGGTTTGACAAAAATGAAAAACGGGCTCAAGAAATGGGAACTCCAAAATTAAATAAAAAATAGGTAGGTACTAGCTTCATTTGTTTATCTATTATTATTATTATTTTATTGCCCTTGAAGGCAGACGAGCGTATGCCACTATCTTACCTATGTGCGATGCACACTATGTAACCAGTGAGTTGTTAGCGTCGTCCATGGACTTCAGCAATGCCAGGGACAGTTTTTTTTTCCCTGCCTAAGCTGAGAGGCTTGAGAGGCTATATCAGCGTAGCCTTAACTAGCTCACGGGACTCAAACCTGATGACGTTGCTAACACGAACCCTAGCAAGAGCCGTGCTTCGCAGAATCTACCAACCGATCGGAAACGCAACCCACTGAGAAGATCCGGCGAGAAACTCAGTGGGCTGTGTCTGAGGGTTAATTTACTCGTCGAGCCCTTCGTCGCAAGCGACTGGTTCGACGAGAACGATGACTGGTGCTTGAGGTACCTAAAAGCACCGTTAGTGGATCGGTAGGATCCGAAATGACGTGCTTAGGCCGACGTCGGCTGCTTTCCATTCTGTCAGGGGCAGAGCCAGGCCGCTGCCTACCGCTTAATACTCTGCACAAGCCTCGTTTGAAGAAGGACATGACATAGCGCTCTCGGGAAGCACCGGATGTCACGTGGCAAAAAAGATCTCTGGAAAAACACTGTGGATGATTGGGATTATTGACAACCCGAACGGCTTTCTTCTGTATGGAGTCAAATGGAAGTAGCTGGTAGTTGGGAGCCCCAGTCCAAAGATGGGAGCAGTACTCCACGCGAGACCGGACTTGTGCTTTGTAGAACAAAATTCTTTGTCCAGGCGTGAAGCATCGCTTCGCTCTGTGTTACGTAATCAATGCGTTTTTTATTTAAAAGATTTTAATCATGATATTATATCTTTTTTTTATCGCGTAGATGGATGAACGAGCTCACGGCCCACCTGGTGTTAAGTGGTTACCGGTTATTTGAGTAGAAAAATTGGTACTAGCCCGCCGGCTTCGAACACCGATGCAATGCTCAACATGAATACACTGGACTTCTTTCTTTTAGGCAATGACGACTTCAAATATACATATATGTACATCATAGTAATATACAATAAGCTGTAATGAAAAATAAGCATCGCTTTTTGACTACCACGAATTGCCTGAAAATTCTCCTTATTAGCTTCAGCTGTCTTCAGGGCATGATACATTTATTTGTAATGTATTGCCTTTTGGCTCAGTTAACGCTACGCAGGATTACTTTGGACACTGCTTGATACAAAAAAGTTTTGAAGTAGCTATGAAATGAACTTTTTATACATACAAGGTCTACACAGACTAGTTTCGAAGTTTAAACCAGTATAATCAGATATTACCCTCCCAGACAACATCTAGACTTCAAAGGAGATGGTAGGGTAGACTCTAAAAGATCTCATGGGGAGCCGTGACCGCTGCAGTAGCTTCACTATTCTTTGGACTAGCGTCTGCTCTATACAGGATCTTCGTACAGAGCTAGCGACCACACCACTTCCAAAGCGAGGCTCTTCAAAAGTACCATGGAATGATTGGCATTCATACGCCTCATTTAATAACAGGATGAGCTAAAGAAAGTCAAATGACTGCTCTTGAATCCTTAATACGATCACAATAGGACAATCTGTGGCGACGCAGTGATGAATTGCTCGGTGTTGAATAGATNCTATACAGGATCTTCGTACAGAGCTAGCGACCACACCACTTCCAAAGCGAGGCTCTTCAAAAGTACCATGGAATGATTGGCATTCATACGCCTCATTTAATAACAGGATGAGCTAAAGAAAGTCAAATGACTGCTCTTGAATCCTTAATACGATCACAATAGGACAATCTGTGGCGACGCAGTGATGAATTGCTCGGTGTTGAATAGATATTACAAAAGACTCGTCAAAGACCCCAGCTCACGAGTCCAAAGTGCAATCATAATACACGCGATAAAGCAACAACATCGTGTAATAAAAATCAAATCCGCAAAATGTAGAATTTACGTAATTACTGGTGGTAGGACGTCTTGTGAGTCCGCACGGGTTAGGTACCATCGCCCTGCCTATTTTGGCCGTGAAGCAGTAATGCGTTCCGGATTAAAGGGTGGGGCGGCCGTTGTATTGTAAAAACTGAGACTTAAGAACTCTCTCAAAGTGGGAGGCGGTAATTTCGCTGTCGATGTCTATGGGCTCTCTGGTATCCACTTGACATCAGGTGGGCCGTGAGCTCGTCCACCCAACTAACCAACAAAAACAGTTTTATATTGGGTAATAGGTACCTACACGTAGGTATGTAACAAGACTTATAAAAAAAATTGTAGTGAAATCAAGATCTATTATTCAATTGCTAGTAATAATCTCAGTATTTTAAGACCGCAAGGCGTACCTATAAGATATTCCGTATTAACTTTTGGACTCTTATTAATTCATCCCACGT